TGTGTGTGTGTGTCTATGTGCAAGTATGACTGTGCACATCTGTGTGGGGGTTTGCAGATGTGCATGTGTGTGTATGCGTGTGTGAAGTGAGTGAGTAATGCATGTAGACAAGCCAAGTGTAAGAGGCCTAGCAGACACAACGCCCACATTTCCCCGTAGCACAGAGCCAGGGTGTGCGTGCAGCCGAAAAAGTTCAAACCAAGACCATGTCACACACAAACAGAAACACACACACACACACACACACAGTCTCACTCATTCACTCACACAAGACCAACCATGCAATGGAATTTACGTCTGCTCCAAAAAGCAAATAGAATAGAATAGAATATGGTTTTCAAAATTAAATTCCAGTGGTCAATTTTTCTCACAAGCAAACAGGAAATGTAAATAATATGGTGCTGTTTAAATGAATACGATGATTCACTTTATGGCTTGTTTGTAATCTCTGTACATACAACAGCACACAGTTCAGTTGTAATCGTCAAAAATCAATTTAAAATCAGTCTTGCTTTTCAAAGTCAGCAGCAAAAGTTGCATGAGGTCAGCCGTTTCAAAAGATATGAGTACTATAAGTACTGTGTTTTCTAATGAACTAGCGTTGCAAAACTTTGCATGACTTTATATGACACCACAGTGAAAATTTGCCATTGTGCTGGCCCTCAGTTATTCCTAGAGGCAATGATTTGGAGGAGATGATCTAAAAACTGTCCAAAAAGCTTCTCATCATGACTCCACGGTCCATGCTAATATCTGTTGGGGGCTTTCCAAGCCCCATTTAAAAACATTACCACAATGCATGGATTCACCCATTCAAACCAGGAAGTATCAAACAATTCAAGTTGTCAGGAGGAGTAGGGGCAAAAGCGATGAGGGAAAACTCAAAGACTACATCTTTAACGCTCATTGCAAAACATTTGACTACTGAATAAGATTCACAAAGCAGCATCTTACACATGCATTAACATCTGTATGCATTGCTGTCATGAAAAACTAGCATCAGGACATATATGATGCCAAGCTGCATAATCAGCATCACACAGATGACTGTATATTAAAATTAGCCATTGGACGCTAAACAGGAAGTTCCTATAGCTTCATTAAAATATAGCTTTTTTTTTTTTTTTTACATGGCTACTTATATAAGAGACTGTCTGGTGCCTGGTTTCCTTTCTCTAAAATAGAGAAACTAGTAATTACTGTGCATAGCCTTGAAATGCTATAATCATCTGTCAAGTGTGTGCAAAAGCTCTGTTCTTCCTTGCAATCTATTCAGCCTTCTATACAAAACAATGTCTTTTTGAATCTGGGAAAAAGCTGTCAGTTGATACTGATAGCATGTTTCATTTAGTTTTGAATAGTTTAGCATTTAAAATTATTAGGGGCATCCGGTACCCATCTGTAACTTAGAGTCCAGCAAGCAAAAGTACAAAAACAGGTAACATGCATCTCTCAAAAATGTGGTCTTAAAAAAGAGCAACAATATTTATTCCTCTTGGCCCAGCCAAACCACCGACGTTTGCTGTCGGAAACGATTGCATTTTAAAAGCACATTGTTTTCCTTTGTGGTTCGAGAAATTCACTTTAAACACTGATAATGAAATATGAGTAATGAAAAAAAGAAAATGATGACACTTGTGTCAAGTTGATGCTTGCATTATGACACAGTTTTTCAAGCCTGTCAACAGCATTAGATAATTCTCTGTGAAATGTCCAACTGCAAATAGAATTTAAAAACAAGACCTGTCAGGCATTTCTGATTCATGCTTTTCCAATTCTTAACCGACATACAAGGCATGGAGGAGCTTGTATGTGTTTCTGTGTGTTTTCATATGTGTAAGGTGACAGGAGACAGAAAGTGAGATAAATGAATATGACACTATAAGATTGACCCTGTCTTTGTCACACACATTTTCACTCTTTCTTCCTCTCTGCCCTGCTCTAAATCCTCCGTGTCGGTGTGACATCCATCAGGTCCCACAATCTGCTTGTGAAGCCTTTAACCTCCCAGTTGTGCACTAATCCCACCACTGAGATTTATCATCTTACACTCATATAAAAGCTGGTGTTACACTCGACTATAACTGCATAATTATCCTCACTGTGGAAATCTGAGGTCTGTCTAATCTGTCTAATCAACCTATACTGTTTTTGCATCTGTGCATTATAAGTTTATGACATCTTTTCACGCATCAGGAAACTGAAAAGATCTCTAAATGACCTCACTGAGCCATTAGGCCCTTAATTACTGCTTTAAATGATTTCTCTCAGAGCTAAAAGGGTACTTATTTACACCAAATATGATAATGAGGACAGAGGTGAAAGCAAAAAGATGGTATTCTTGCATGATCAAAAACCCCCAGAAATTATTATTAGCTGATAGGCTTCAAAAGTCTAATTTATAAAATGTAAATTTAAAACATTTATATGCCACATCTTATTTACAATTGTATTTACTTTGGTGGAACAACTTCAATGGATACCATTATAATCAGGCAAGTCTTACTATCAAATGTATAATGCAACCTGTTGAGATTTTCTGTCCCTTTCTTCTTCTCAGTCTCTTTTGCCTCTTCCTTTATACCCCAGGATAAAAGAATCACTGCATCAGGACCATCTGTCTGCACTTTCATTTGCTAGAGTAGGTTTATAAAGAAGGGGAAG